ACGGAAGCGCCGAGGAACACGTACAGGAACAGTATCCGTAGCAGTATCGTTAACAGTAAAGACACAGAGTTACGTCGGACCACGCTGGCTCAGGTCTGTGGGTCACCGTGGGACTGGTTAGAGACATACGAACAATTAGAGACAACTTCAGCTATGGTAAATAGTTAGCGTTACCATCTGTTAAATAGGTCAGACCCACACAGGTAATTTTATCCCTCTCTCTTTCTGCTAAGTTGGTCCAAGTTTAGTTTATATTTTTTTTTTCCCTTCCTTGCAAGCATCTGCCTTTCTTTCCGCTGTCACTGGTGTCGGCCCCGAGCGGTCCTCACGCCGACGTTAGCGCAACGGGGCGACTTCCTACAGCAACGGGCAGGGAAGGCTGAGCTCTGGCCTCAGAGTCCAGCGAGCCGAATTCTGGTCCCCACTGAAGCCGGTGAGCGCGTCCCCAGGGAGCGGAGGGACGCCGAGATCCCCCTTACTGCATCGAGGGGAATCAAAACAGCAGAAATGCCGCAGCATTTCCCCGTTGGACTCCGCGAGTTTGGCTACCCTGGCCACAGGGTTTGGGATTGCTGTAAGCGAAAGCGATGGAGATGGTGCAAGGTCCTTAAGGGCTCCTTGACTAAATGTCTCTGGTGGCTTCAGAGTATTTCTCTAGGCGTATATGCATATATGGATATATATATATATTTTATGTGCTAGCTATGAGGAGACAGGGAGGACAGGTCTTTGCCTCATCCCATACCTAATGCTTCATTCTCCCTCGAGCACCGAGCTCCATCTGACCAAGCGTGGCATTGACCTTCAGCTGGGTGGACATGAGCTGATCTGAGCAGGTCTCTCTAGAGAGAGCCAAGACAAGGGGCTGGGACTAGACCCTGCCCTGGGGACACCCACGCTCAGCTAAATCCCACTCCTTTGACTCAGCATCCGTCCTGGGGCTGGCCAGGGGGTAGGGGGACGTTCCCACCCCGGGCACCGGTCCCAGCCTAGCCCTGGTGCTAATGCAGGGCACCAAATTGCCATGGAGCAAGGGGCCAGCTCCCGCCTTGGCTACAGCTTGGCGGGGTGTTAGAGATCCTCCTGTGCCCAGGAGCGAGAAAAAAAACCCAACCTGAGACTCCCGGATTCAAACCTGCCCACGGCAGTCGGCAGCGGGGTCCTGGCGAGACCAGCAGCCCAGCACCGTCGGCTTCACGGGGCGCGCGAGGGAGAGCAGAGCTAAAAGCGGCATTGGGGCTGCCCCGGTCAAGTCGCCGCGGTGCCTCGGGAGGTGCAGGGGTCGGGGTCCTCCCCCAGGGAAGGGGACAGCCCGGCATATCCCCTGCAAGGGCTGCTCGTGGAGGGGCCGAGCTGCGCTTGGTGCCGTGCTCCCCC